CCCAATGCTTTCAACAGTGCCTCCTATTAGGTACTCAATAGATACTTGTTGAATGAATGAGGATGTGATACATGTTTGAGGAAGTCTTCAGGAAGGGCCTCCTGGCAGAGGTCCTAAAAAATAGTTGCCTGAAGTATCATTTACATGGACAGATCTCTGAACTACAAAGCTGAGGACCCTGCTGGGGGTGAGTGAGTCAAGTGCCCTAGGCTGAAGCCACCAGGAATGGATCCAGATGTCCAAAGGATGGGTCTGGAATCCCTTGTCTCTCTCCCTATATTGATCATATTTGCTCTCCTCACTCAGCCAAGCACCTTCTCAGATGAACTCCACCCAGCTTTGGCTGTGTCCGTCCTTCAGCAGTTCCCATACAGTTTGGCCCTCTCCCGATCCAGGACAGCCGAGGCCCTTAAACAAGCACTCTGCTGCCTCCTTGTGGCTCCCATAGTAAAGGAATTCTCTTCTGGAACCTGAGACAACAGAGGTCTACACAGGGACTCTTAAAATGGGAGGTGTGGGAGAAGAAACCTGAATTTTATTGACCCCCGTGGCAACCCTGAAATACTGGCAGCTGCTCCTGCCCCCACAGACATTACTGCCAGTAGCAATGACCATCCCCTCAGCAGAGCCCTAACAGGTATACCAGCTGGCCTTTGGCTTTGGTTGTTCCAGGTTGGGTCACCTTTGAGGAAAGAATTTGACACAATAGTCAGATCCCAGGGCCTTCTTTGAGGGGCATTCATGCCTCTCCTTCTCTGCCTCCTCCCAACTCACAGTCTATAAGGAGTCTTTAAGTCTTTAAGGGCCACCAACCAGCTCAGGGCCAGGTGTGTATAAAGAGAGGACGGAGCTGGGCACTGTGGAGAAGTGGGGCCCATTCCCTGGAGGATGCTGCTCAGCTGAGACACTGCTAGTTCCAGCCCATTACTGTTTCTGCAGGTAACTGAAAACGCACCTAAGCTAATATCTTCCCCTAGACAGGGAATGTCCTGGAATACACTGGGTTATCTTGTGGACTTATAAGGGATACAGCTGGACCTCAGGAACCATCTGACTAGCAAAGTCTCTGATGAGACTTTTTTTTTTTTTGAGACTTCTTTCTTACTTTTCTATATAATTTGTTTTTATTTCTTGCTGCTTTCTAAATATTTGCTTATCTTTGGTTTCAGCAATTAGACCATGCTATACTTAGGTGTGTTTTTCTTGATCCTGTTTGGGGTTCTCTGACATTCTTGGATCTGTGGTTGGTTTTCTTTCATTAATTTGGGAAATTCTCAGTGGTTCTCTCTTCAAATATTTCTTCTGCCCCAATCTGTCTCCCTTTTTCTGGGACTTCAATCATGTATGTCAGAGCATTTGTCATTATCCTACATATCTTGGTGCTTAGCTTTGGGTTTACTCAATTGTTCCTTAGCGTAGAGTTACTGTTTGTTTAAATTTCTCCTGACCTGGCTTCAAACTCCTCTGCTTTTGTCCAATTTGATTAACTGGCCAAAGGAATTCTTCATCTCTGATATTACAGTTTTCACTTTTAGTATTTTCATTTTTTTTTTCCTATCTCTGCTCAGATTCACCATCTGTTCATGCATGTTGTCCACCTTTTCTATTAGACTAGATCAGTCTTAGTCATGCTCATATATTTTTTGGAGAAGACGACTCCTCCAACAATAGAGTCATACTCATACTTTATCTAACTTTTTCTAAGTTAGCCTCCCCATCACCTGGGACACACCAGATCCCACCTGGCTTTCCCCTCCCTGGCTTTTTGTCTTGATTGTTTACAGTTTTCATCCCTTTCACTTCATCAACACCTCCTTGAAGGCCACAGTTATGGCTAAAATAGACCCTTCTCTCATGTCACCTTCCACCTTAGTGTTGAATCCTCATCCTGGAGACCCCTGAGACTATGGGCCATGCAGGCAGAGCTATGGCCAACTCCCAAATCTGGCTTCAAGAAATATGCCAAGCAGTATTGCTTCTCATATTTTGGCTTCCCTGTTTTTGTTTTTTTGAAGGTTAAGGCAATATCTTATTTGATCAAATACATCAACTTTGCTCTGAAAAAAAATGAGGCTCTTGTATAATATTAAAGAACCTCATACCAGAAAAACATCATATACTATATCTATATATCTCCTTGGTTGCAATCCTCTTGGCTTTACAACTTCTATTAGACACTCTGCTTGCTTGCCGGAGAGCTTGAGAGAAGACATCCAAAAAGTCAAAATCCTCCATCACCAGAGCAGGTTTGGCTGCTGGGCACCTTAAGCACAGTGCCAAAAGCCTATGAAAACATGTGATACCTTTGAAAATGTCATTGGTGGGACTTCCCTGGTGGTCCAGTGGTTAGGACTCTGGTGCTTCCATTGTAAGGAACACAGGTTCAATACCTAGTTGGGAACTAAGAACCCACATGTTGAGGGAGTAAAGTCATTGGCACCAAAATATAAAAATATGTAATTAAATGTTTATATAATGCTCAAAATTCTCCAGGCCAGGCTTCAACAGTATGTGAACCAAGAACTTCCAGATGTTCAAGCTGGATTTAGAAAAGGCAGAGGAACCAGAGATCAAATTGCCAACACCCATCAGATCATCGAAAAAGCCAGAGAGTTCTGGAAAAACATCTGCTTCTGCTTTATTGACTACGCTAAAACCTTTGACTGTGTGGGTCACAACAAACTGAGGAAAATTCTGAAAGAGATGGGAATACCAGACCACCTGACCTGCCTCCTGAGAAACCTGTATGCAGGTTAAGAAGCAACAGTTAGAACCAGACATGGAACAATGGACTGGTTCCAAATTGGGAAAGGAGTATGTCAAGGCTGTATATTGTCACCCTGCTTATTTAACTTATATGCAGAGTACATCATTCAAAATGCTGGGCTGGATGAAGCACAAGCTGGAATCAAGATTGCAGGGAGAAATTTCAATAATCTCAGATATTCATGTGACACCACCCTTATGGCAGAAAGCAAAGAGGAACTACAGAGCCTCTTGATGAAAGTGACAGAGAGTGAAAAAGCTGGCTTAAAACTCAAGATTCAAAAAACAAAGATCATGGCATCTAGTCCCATCACTTCATGGAAAATAGATGGGGAAACAATGGAAACAGTTACGGACTTTATTTTCTTGGGCTCCAAAATCACTGCAGATGGTGACTGCAGCCATGAAATTAAAAGATGCTTGCTCCTTGGAAGAAAAACTATGACAAACCTAGACAGTATATTAAAAAGCAGAGACGTTATTTTGCCAAAAAAGGTCCATCTAGTCAAAGCTGTGGTTTTTCTAGTAGTCATGTATGGATGTGAGAGTTGTACCATAAAGAAGGCTGAATGCCAAAGAACTGATGCTTTTGAACTATGGTGTTGGAGAAGACTCTTGAGAGTCACTTGGACTGCAAGGAGATCAAACCAGTCAATCCTAAAGGAAATCAACCCTGAATATTCATTAGAAGGACTGACGCTGAGGCTGAAATTCCAATACTTTGGCTGCCTGATGCAAAGAGCTGACTCATTGGAAAAGACCCTGATGCTGGGAAAGATTGAAGGCAGGAGGAGAAGGGGGCAACAGAGAATGAGATGGTTGGATGGCATAACTGACTCTGGACATGAGTTTGAGCAAGCTCTAGGAGATGGTGAAGGACAGGGAAGCCTGGTGTCCTGCAGTCCATGGGGTCACAAAGAGTCAGACACGACTGAGTAACTGAACAACAACAAAAAACATGATATTGTCAGTTTCATTATTCTGTCAAATTTAATATTCAAAATGTTCTCATATTTACAAAACTTGTTAGATTTCATCTCTATGGGTGATGATTGCTGAGAAGTCACAGCCCACTGCACATTAAAAAAAACCACAACTTACTCATAGTCAGTTAATATCCAAAGCAAAGTTATAAAAATCTTTTCAAATTATTTATAAAGAAGTATATTTAGCATGAGGGCTACCATGGGTGAGGCCTCCTGAAAAGAATAGACCCAAAAGGCTAGAAATGGCTCATTCTTGCCCCAGCAGTCCAGTATGTGTGACTTGCATCAAGAATGCCTCTCACCATCCTCCCTCCAGCAGGCTTCCTTGGGATACATTGAACTGTGGCTCCAAGATCAAATCCTGCTCTGGCCCAGAGATCAGGTCAAGTGCCCATCTGTTTGCATGCCATATTCTTCTCTTCCTTCCAAAGTTTCAACCTTAAGCCGGGAGCAAGCACGGCTCCCATTCCTAAGAAACAGAATCACTGGATTGTGGGTCCTCTGAGGACAGGGTGATTTCCTAGCTAACGTTTTTGTTGTGCCTGCTCCCTAGGCCTGGCCCGGCTGGCCGGGTGAGAAAAGGCGGAAGGGGAGGGCAGAGGCCGATGGGAGACAGGCAGACGGCTGAGTGCAAGGGAGAGTGAGGGTGGGACGCTGCTTGTAAGCTGTGTGAACCAACCAAAGCCATGTCTTACCTGAATTAAGACAATAGACAGGCATGGCCTCCTAAGCCCACACCATGTAGATTTGGAAACTCGTGTCTCCATTTGTTCCATCTGTGTCCTCACTCCTCAGAAGGGCACCGTCCTTGCCCCCCACAACCTGGTCACCCCTGGCTCAGACTTGTACTATCTTCTTTTGTTCTAAGTGTTGACGCTCATTATCAGTTACATATTTGTCCATGTCTCTGACTGGATGAAGACTTACTGAGCCCTGCCGTGTGCCAGGCACTAATCATGGCTGTCTTGGCTGGTCAACTCCCAGAAGGCAAGCTCAACATTTGGGGGATCCTCTGTGACTGGTGTCCAAGTCATGGACCTGGTTCCAAAAATGAGTTGTGGAGGTATGGGTTTTAGCAATGAGACAGAAAATTTTAAAAATAAACATATCTCTATTTTATTAACAATGTACAGTTTGCTGACTGAAGAGGAAAGTAGTGTTTCTCAAAGTTCTAGGATTACTTAGCAGGACCCAGAGAGTTTGTTTAAAAACAGTAGCTGGGAACCTGCTTTGGAACAAGTTTGAGAATCACTGGCTAAGGCATGGAATGGGGCTGGGATTGTCTCGATCCTTCTGGCTTCTTAGGGTTCCAGGGAAGGACTCGTTTGACTTTTTATGAACAAGCTCAGCTGACTCCTCTGGGGGTTCCTGTTCTTCCTTTCTTTGGGTCACTGAGGCACTGAAAGAGGTAATACAGTTATGGGTTGGGGAGCAGCTGAGACATGGCCCCTGACATGTGAGCACCCACCCAGCCTACCCAATTGTGTCCCTGGTTGACTCTGGGAGACCAGTCCAGGGCTGACCCAAATGTGGAACTGCTTAATATGACATTTCTGCCACATTCCAGGGGCTCTGCTTCTTTTCTTGCAAATCTTCCTCTTCTTTCACATCACAGAATTCTCCCTCTTCTCTCTCCTCACTGTTCCCTGCTCCTTCTTACCCATCCATGCTTCTTCCTCTCCACCCCTATCTTGGTTCCTTCCCAGAAACCAAGTTATAAGCCCTCTCCTCTGTCAGCACCACATTGGAAGTCTGCATGAGTCCCTGCTTGCTGCATCTTGGCACACACATGTGAACTGCTGTGTACTTTCTGCAGAAACAGGCTCTGAGCAAGGGAGGGCAGGGCAGTCTGAGGTTAAGATTCTTCTCGGACTACAGACAGTGCCTAGAGTGTGCGGGCATGTAGCTATCTTACCTGTCAGACAGAGAGCCCAGGGGAGACATGTGTAAAACAAAGCAGAGAAAACTTCTGGAGAAGGGGGTCTGCTGGCCTTTGAGAGACTCAGTCCCAAAGCCCACGGGGAAGATGAAGAGCCCTTCCCCACATGCTGAGAACACATCCCAGCGAGCCTTTAATGAGGCACGCTGCCAGTGTCAAGCAAACGGGGAGAATGGTGCAGTTGGCCCGAGGTGGGTCCCAGTTAGGAGACTAGCCACTACTGTGAACTGGAGAGCACAGCCAGGGGAGCTGATGAGGTGGGCAGGGTCCCAAAGGGGTGAGTGGCCTGGACCCACACAACAGGTGGACATGCAGATTTGAGGTAGGCTGGAGGCAGGCAGCCAAAGAGAGGATGCACTTTTGGGAGTGGAAGCAGCATGTCTCCAGAGGTGCATACACACAGAGAATTCACAAAGACAGCAGCCCAGGGGCAGCAGGAGCCTGGGAAGCAGCAGAGAACTTGCGTTCAGGAGCAGAAGATTCTCAGGCCATAGAACCGAGATCCCAGGACAAGGCAGGCAGCACTGCCCTGAAATGTCGGGGATCGGCTTGACATCCAGGTAGGTGGTGCCCACCTGGCATGTGGGTAAAGAAGACAGAAGCAGCAGGACTTGACTTCTACACCTGGTACTGTGATAAACTGAATACACGCATGTGGAGTTAAAAAAGGGGGAAGAAAATTGTATTCACCTAAATTCCCCTGGAAAACAGAAAGTCTTCGGTGGGAACAATATTTTGATAAGTGCTTAAATCTGAAGCTGAGATCCCAGTGGAGGGTTGGGTGTGGGTGGAACAGCTCTGCGTGAGACAGGAGGGAGTTTTTGCATTCTGAATGTTATATACAGAGAGAGGGGAAGAAAGGAGGCTGCTCTGTGGGGCTGTTCACTGTGAATCCCTGTCTCTGTCACCCTCCTAAATTTTCAGAAAGTTACTAACATCGTGAAGTACGTGGGGCCAAGTGGCGTGGTATACTTGATATTTATGTGCACGCATTTATACGTGTCTGAAGAACAAAGGAGTTGGTGCCTCAGGTTGAAACAGATGCAGAGCAGAGCCCCGGTCCTGGCAGAGATGCAGAGGAGCTCGGAAAGGAGAGACACCACTGTGGGGGTGTGGGAGTTGAAGGCAAGTTTAGCCCAGTCTCAGCAGGGTGCAGCCCCAGTTGATTTCTGGGTTACTAAATTCTGCCACACTGTTGTTTTGGTTATTCTCAACTCTGTTTGCTCAATTCTGTTGTATCCAAATCAACTAACAACAATAGCAACACACCCAGACACTTGGAATCTCTTCAGGAACTGAAAACCAGGTATCTATGTACTAGGTGGGCTATGCTGATGTTCAGCTGGGACTCTCAGGACCACTTCAGAGTGGGATCACAGCCGAGCACCAGCCTCCTTTGATGCTGCTGGGCCACCCTGTCTTCCTTTAGTCCCTGTCGAGAGGACGATGGCAGCACCAGCATGTTGCAGGCTTGGTTCCAGTTAGGTCTAGACGGGCAGGCCATCAGTGCCCTCTCCCTAAGTCATTCATTCATTCATTCTTTTGTTGCAGGATCTTAGTTCCCTATGTGCAAGGGCTAAGCTGCTTCAGTCACATCTGACTCTTTGCAACCCCATGGACTACAGCCCACCAGGCTCCTCTGTCCATGGGATTCTCCAGGCAAGAATACCGGAGTGGGTTGCCATGCCTGCCTCCAGGGGATCTTCCTGATCCAGGGGTCGAACCTGCATCTCCTATATCTCTGGCATTGGCAGGAAAGTTCTTTACCACTAGGGCCACATGGGAAGCCCCTTAGTTCCCTGACCAGGGATTAAACTGGGGCCCCAGCAAAGGAAGTGCCAAGTCCTAACCATTGGACTACCAGGGAATTCCTATCCTGGTCAGAGATCTTTAGTTGGCACATGGCCAGGGCCACAAGAGACAGCTGGCATTAGTAATGTAGAAGGTTCCTTGAAGAACCTTGAGTCTTCAAGCCAAGAGAGGCAGAGTTGAACCTTCCTAACCAGAAAAGCCTCTTGTTGGCCCACTGAGTCCCACTTCCCCTCAGCTGCTCTTCCCAGGGGCAGTTCTTAAAGGCAGTAAGGAAACAACAGTGCCAAAGATGGGCCCAGGTTTATCTTGAGATTTTTGGTCTCTCTCATCTCTCCATACCTGCACCTGGCTCACCTTGAGAACAACCCCCAGGCCTAGAGCAGGATACACTCTTGAGTAATTTACATGCAAGTCCCAGGAAATAAGTGGAAAGAAAACACTTCCATCCTGGTCTTCTGAGATGCCATGTGGAGTCTTTGAGACAACTAGAATGGTGTTGGTGTGGGGACCCAAGCTCATGGCTGATGAGGCAGGTAAGTCTGTCTGATGTGGTACGGTAAGTGAAAGTGTTAGTCACTCAGTCATGAACTCTTTGCAGCTCTATGGACTGTAGTCCACCAGGCTCCTCTGTCCATGGAATACTCCAGGTAAGAATACTGGAGAATTCCTCTTTTCCAAGGGAATCTTCCCAACCCAGGGATCTAACCTGGGTCTCCTGCATTGTGGGCAGATTCAATGTGTTACAGTAAGTGAGTCATTATTAATGTTTGGAAAGATATCTGTTGGGTATTTGGACACAGGGAGTGTTTACTCTGGCCCCTACCCTTAATGGGCAGGTGTCCCTGAATCCAGATTGACCATCCAGCCTTGCACCTTACCGGGCCTTGAGGGACATCAAGCTTTTGTGGAAGGAGGACTGCACATCCAATGCCAACAGGCGGGGAATGTCTGGGAAACCTCCTAGCTGGTCCCAGGACAGGCTGGTGGGGGTCTTCTTTTCTATGGGGTAACTGGAGGCAGCCACATCAATCTTCCACATAGCCTCCATCTGGTTCCCCTGTTGGCTGGGGTGTAAAGGTGGAAGTGCAAAAAGAGATGAAGTTAGACTTACAGAAAGGGAGACAGTGGGAGCAACAAGCTCTCCGTGGTTTTCTTCCCTTCTCAGATAATTGTCACCATCCTCCGCGCCACATCTCTTCCCTTCCCAACTCTCAGTCTCACCTCCCGGAGTCTCCTCTGGTTGAGGAGCTACTGGAAAAGGCTGCCGAGATAGCCCCTGGTCCTCCAAGACATGCCCCGGGGCTGAAGCCCTGAACCGGCCACACTAGGATGGTTGAGGTGTGGCTCACCATGTCTCTCTTTGAGCCCAGCGGTCATGGGGTGGGAAGGCTCATGTTTATTTTTATGAACTGACCAATTCTTGGGGTAGAAATGGTTGTGAGTTCTCAGCTGTGGGTCCCAGGAGTCTCTCAGTTGCATAGTTTGAAACATACTTGGTCGGGCTGGCTCTTGAAGCCCACATACCACACACATACACACACCCTCATCTGGGTCAATGACCAGAACTGGGCAGGGCAGCTGAGAAGCTGGGCTCCTTGCAACTCATGGGTGAGCTTTGCTTGTCTGTGCCTTCACTGAGCTTCTGGTCCCCTCCCCAGTCTGGTCACCCCTGCTCCCTGATTCCCCACTCACCCAGCCAGCTGCCCCCAGCTTCCGTGCACCTACCGGGCCATCTGCTGGGGCACCCGTGGCTGGTGCTTGGTCTTAAAGAGCTCCTGGGATCGCTTGCAGAAGGGGCTACTGGAGTGGATGTGCCGCAGTAGGAATGGAGGAGGCTTGCTTTTCCTTGACTTCGGGGAGATGACCACAGGGGTGTGCAGGTTAATGTTCCACTCCTTCTGGAGCTAAGAGAAACCAACAGAGAGGCATCATCAGAGAGACAGGAATTTATCCTCTTTTTAAAGAATCCACCTGCCAATGCAGAAGACGCAAGAGACACAGGTTCGATCCCTGGGTCAGAAAGATGCCCTGGAGGAGGGAATGTTTACCCACTCCAGTATTCTTGCCTGGAAAATTCCAGGAAGAGAAGATCCTGGTGGGCTATAGTCCATGGAGTCACAAAGAGTTGGACACAACTGAGTGGCTGAACACAGCCCAACACAACTACTGCCTGATTTGGGGTTGAGCAGAAAGGGGGAGGCCCAGGGAATCCCTCTAATTAGAGACCCCCTTGGACCTCAGTGTATCACATTTCCTAGAAATGCCTTGAATTGCAATTTGCTGGTTTAGTTCCTGTTTTCTCCTTTGTTGTGGAGAATCCGGACAATGGGAAAAACAGTAAGGAAGAAACTAAAGGAAGCTAGAGCAGCTAGAACTGTGAAGACTCATAGGGTTCATGACATGGGTCAGGTTGTGTCTGGAATGCTCTCTGTATCTAGTCATTCAGCCTCTGCCCTGGCCCTGGGCAAGGGGCTGGGGGAACCCTCACAGCCACCTAAAGAATTATATATATGGTCCCTTTCCTTCTCAACCTCAAAACCAATTTAGCAAGTCAAGACACCTACAGGAGGTGATCAAGACTAGTATAAGGAGACAGGAAAGTGAGTTGGGAGATAGCTCCATGGCCAAGGTTCTTCCAACTTCCAATGAAGTTGGCCTTCCAAGTCAAGTTGGCCTTGACTCAACTTCCAATGCTGAATTCCTCAGGACACTGCTTCCCTCAGACTCTGACTGTTGCTGCCCAGGACTCAGAGGGGGTTACCTCCGGGCCCATCTTAGCAGATTCAGAGTCACTGCTGGCCATCAGCTAGCCTCCTGTGGACCACGTCAGCACTCGATGCTTTTCTGACCTTGGTAGCAAGAGTCAGGAAACTGAAGGCAGTCCTTAGAGAATAAAATAGGTCAAACCCGATAGAGTAAGACTCAGAATGACTTTGGACTCTCAACAGCAAAGCCAACACCTGGAAGGTGATGAACAGTGCCTTCAAATTGAGAGAAAATGAATTCTAACCTAGACTTCTCTATACAAGCAAGCTGTCAACCACAGTTAAGGGTGGATATTAAATGAAGACATTTTCAGACAACCGGGGTCTCAGTGATTCTACCTGTCAGGAACCCTTTGTCAAGAAGTGACTGGAAGAGCTGCTCCACTAAAACAAGGGAGACCCAGCATTGGAAGCAGGGGAGCTGTCCCCAGAGAGGAGTAAACGGAGTCCCCAGCATGAGGGTGACCGAGCCTGGAGAGCAACCAGGAGAGCAACCAGATCTGATAGGAGCTGGACAAGGAGACCCACGGGAGAAGGAGGATCTGAGCACAGAGCTGGACTGCAGGCTCTGGCTACCTCCTCTGCAGAAGAGGCTTCCTTCTCTAGCTCTTTTCTTTTTTAAATTTATTTATTTATTTTTGGCCACACCTTGGAGAATCCCATGGACAGAGGAGCCTGGTGGGCTACAGTCCACAGGGTCGCAAAGAGTCGGACATGATTGAGCGACTACACACACTTGTGGCACGTAGGCCACACCTTGGAGAATCCCATGGACAGAGGAGCCTGGTGGGCTACAGTCCACAGGGTCGCAAAGAGTCAGACATGATTGAGCGACTACACACACTTGTGGCATGTAGGACCTTAGCTTCTCTGCCAGGGATTGAACCTGTGCCCCCTGCATTGCAAGCACGGAGTCTTAACCACTGGACCGCCAGGGAAGTCCCCTCCAGCTCTTTTTGAGGGTCCCTCAGATCCCCTGGAGAAGGGAAAGGCTACTGACTCCAGTATTCTGGCCTGGACAATTCTATGGACTGTATAGTCCAATACAGTCCATGGGGTCGCAAACAGTCGGACACAACTGAGCGACTGTCCCTTTCTTCCCTCTCTTGCTCTCCCCCCATTTATGGCGATTGGAAAACTTGCCTTCCTTCTACTCAGGCTGCCCCCTGCCTTCCCCTCCTCCTGGTTCAGAGGCTTTAATCTCCTCTCTTATTTCCCATCTGCTCTCCTGCCTCCCAGGTACACCCCCACAGCCCCATGGCTCTATCCTGGCCCTATTCCTGCTGGCTGTGCTGACCCCTGAGAAGGTCACCAGGTGGGAGGCCCACCTTGGGGAACATAGTCGCCATGCTGCTCAGGCACTCTCGGTGCTTCTCCTCCAGGTCCTTCTGCTTGTCTGTCCACACCTGCAGCTGGAGTTTCTGCAGGTGGTCCACATTTTCCAGGAAGAGGAAGAGGTTCTGGGCCTTGTAGGAAGCCCCAGCTTCTCGCACGACTTGTATATGGTTGATCACGTCTTGGCTGGGAAGAGAGGGAAGTGATTTAGTGGGTGAAGGGGCTGCCTCCCGGCCCCTAGCTCTGTGTTAACGAGGGAAGACTCTGTGTGTGTGAGAACTGGGGAAAACAGGGAGCAGAGGTGAGGTGTTGTCAGGTAAGGAGCCTTGGGCTGGGCTGGAAACAGGAAGAGGAAGTAAGGCAAATGGGGGAGCGTGGTAGGCGGGTGATGGACAGGGCAGTAGGACAACAGGAAGACAGTAGGAAGACTCACACAGAGAGAGAGCAGTGTTCTGTGCTCACCTCCCACACCTCAGGGTTGCCCAAGGCTCTGAGGCTGGGTGTCCTGTGCAAATCCCTCTCTCAGGGGCATCATGTCCTGGTCTGGGTGATTCTCCCCACCCCATGCCCCATGCTCCTTCTTTCTTGTTGGATTTTGGCTCTGCCCACTGGTGTGTGTGGTGCCAATGGTTGCCAGGGAAGACTTACCGGAGGCTCTGGAAGTGTCTGTAGCAGATGTACTTGTGGCAGAGGCACCATAGCTTGAGCCCATTCAGCTCCATGGTGGTGGTGGTGAGCTCCAGCGCCTTACTGCGCAGATAGTGGGGCAACCCCAGCGTATCCTCCTCAGTCAGGAGCTGCAGATTCCTCCTCTGGGCCTTCACGTCTATATGGTATACTTTCTCCTTCAGAGTTCCTGGGGCTGTATGCAAAGGGGGCTGGGTCACCCTTCGCGGGGATGTACCTGTGACAGGAAAGGAGGCCGATTTCTTGGGCTTCATGGGAAGCCAGTGGGCCTGTGGTTTCTGGGTAAACTCGGCTGAACTCATGGACCTCTGGTTTCTGGGGGTGGGCTGCTGGGTCTTAGGGGACCTGGGCACACATGGCCTCCTGCCTTGGCGAGCAGATTGGGCCCGGCTTGGGGGAGGTGCCAAAGACGCGTCCTCCAAGTCCCTCCAGCGACTGATGGGCACGAAGATCATCTTCTCTGCGTCCTCTCTCGGCTTCTCCAGCTCTTTCCACGGGCCCTTCGGCTCCTGGTCCAGTCTCAGCTGCTGCCGCCTTGCCACCTCCTCTACCTCCCACTGCCGCAGCTTCTCCTCGTGCTCCTGCTCTAACAGGGCCCACCTTTCCTGCCGCTGCAGCCACATCTCCTCCTCCTGCTGCCACTGCTGCCTCCGCCTCTCCCAGCTGAGCTCCTCTTCCCTGGCCTCTGCCTTGCTCTCCAAGGCCAACTTCCCCGACCTCTCCAGGGACAGCTGCTTCTGCAAACGGGACTTCATCTGGAGTCCGTCTTTCTCCCAGGCCACTTCCTGGAAGAAGTCCTTCTGGTCTTTGGCTCTGTCACCTGGGCTTTCTGCTGACAGTCTTTCCCATTTCTTAGGAAACATGTGATCCATGGAGGATGGCAACGCAGGCTGAAGACTTTCAGCGTCCTTGCTCCTGTACACATCTGCAATCCTTGAATCCATGGTCATGGTGGAAAGAGGCTGATCTGGTGAAGGCATAGCACCACTGTCCCAGGTCATGGCCATGGGGCTTGGGGAATGTGGTGGAAACTGCTCCTCCTTCTTGGGTTCCTGTTGGGTTTCCTCCATGACTGTGTCTTTCTTTGGGAGGGCTTCTTTCTTGGCAGGGTCTGGGAACTCAACCAAGACCCTGACTAAGTCTTCTGCTTGACCTCCAGCAGACTGAGTCTTCTTCAGCTGGAACTCTAGGGCATGCTTTATCAGGAGCAGGTCATGGTACTTTCCCCCTAAAATTTCTATCTGCTTTAGTAGGGCATCTCTCTTACTCTCGAGGACCTGGAAGGACTTCTGGAAGTATAGCTTCTGGTTGCTGAGTTCTTTGGTCATCTCTATTTTCAGGTGCCTGTATTTGGCCTCCAGACTCCTGTTCTCCTTGTGCTGGAGGATCAAGGCATTATTGAGGTTCTCCACGACAGCAGACATGTACCTGATGGCCCTAACCTCCCCCTGGTTGAACATGGTGGAGTCCAGGAGCTCCTGTAACATGGACTTCACCTCGGAAACCTTTACGCAGGTAGTGTGCTTGTCCTGCAGCATCTGCTCTGGGCTCAGGGGCTGAGGGCAGGATATCGCTTTTTGGGGGCTCTGTTCCTGCCAGTCCTGCCAGAAGGTATGTTTGGACACTAGGAGAGGTAGAGAGAACAAACACAGTAAGCTCCCGTGGATCCAAGGATTATACTGATTCTCCAGATCCTGCTTGGCCACATTCCCACCTAACCCTCTTGGGGCTTTGGTAATAAGGAGCTGGGGCATTATATGAGGCCAGGGGAGATACTGTCGGGGGAGGACTCTGCTGGGCTCAGAGCTTACCTGTCAGGGTCTGTCAGCTCCACAGCACCTGTAGGGTGGACCTACACCTACCAGAGGGTCTGAACCTATTTGATCCAGTTCAACTCAATTCAACACACTCCTGATCCTCCATATTTCCCTGGAGTAGAGTTATTTTTATCATGCTGTTCCCAGTACCTACTTTGTGCCCCTTTCCTTTGTCCTTCAATGAGGGTAGAGCAAAGGGAAATGAGAGACTCGATGCCTCCTTTGGTGGCTATGAGGGAGAGAGGTAACACCTTTTCCATCACCTCGATCCATTCATCCAGGGCTTCCTGCTCCTCCTCACTCTTCCTGTTCTTGACCTCATAGGTCAGGCTGTCACCTGAGAGAGAGTGGGACGTTCAGGCTGATAACAATCTGTCCTCTAGGGAGCCCCAAACAGCCCTAGCATGGAGGTAACCCCAGCAGGCTTTGAGGTTAAATTAGTTTAGCCTCTTATTAGCTGTATGATGTTGGGCAAATCACTTATTCCCCTGAGCCTTAGTATCCTCACCAAAAAAGGGTTGGGTATGGATTAAATGAAATAATACAAGTGAAATGATTAACATGAGACCTGCCATGTAGAAAATATGTATAGATATTAAATTATATTGTTGTACTACAAGGCCAGGCATGTGTCTGCCTTGTTATTTTTCTATGCTTATAGTCTAGTCTAATTATTTATTCTATCTGGACAATTAAATGAATTAACTGAAGTCAACAGCTCTGCTTAGTTTCTGGAGGCAGCTGAAGAACCACTGAACTGAGCACTCCTCAGGAGCAGGGCAATGTGAGGAGGGTTAGAGCATAAGCTTATACCATCTTCCTCCAACACTGCAGCATCCACCACATCTCACACCAGACTGAGGTCTCTTGATGGGATAGTTCTGATCTTAAGAGGGGTAGCATCTGGTTCCAGGGCTGCATGCAGCTGGTCTACACCCAAATGGCTATACCAGTTGCCTACAGCTGGCATCCGTGCTCTTTGGCCTAGTATCCATTCAGTACTTTGAATATCACCCTTGAGTTCCTCTATGAAATAGCTAGTACGATCCACCAAAAAAAGTATTAGAACTAATAAATTCAATAAAGTTGCAGGGCCTAAAATCAACACATAAAGGTCAGTTGCATTTCCACACACTAACAATTAATTATCTAAAAAAGCAATAAAGAAAACAATCCCATTTACAAAGCATCAAAACAATAAAATACATAGGAATAAATTTAATGGGGGTGTGTGAAAGATCTATACAGTGAAAACCATAAGACATTAATAAAAAAAAAATTGAAGGAAACACATATAAATGGAAAGATAACCCATGTTCATGGATCAAAAGAATTAATATTGTAAAATGTCTATACTACCCAAAGTCATCTATATATTCAGTGCAATCTCTATCAAAATCCTGTAGCATTTTCCACAGAACTAGGAGAACAATCTTAAAATTCAATATGGAACCACACAAAGTTGGAGGCATCACACTACCTGATTTTAAGCTATATTACAAAGGAAATCAGTCTTGAATAGTCACTGGAAGGACTGATGCTGAGGCTGAAATTCCAATACTTTGGCCATCTGATTCAAAGAAATGACTCATTGGAAAAGACCCTGATGCTGGGAAAGACTGAAGGCAGGAGGAGAAGGGGACGACAGAGGATAAGATGGTTGGATCGCATCACCAACTCAATGGAGATGAGTTTGAGCAAGCTCTGGGAGTTGGTGATGGACAGGGAAGCCTGGTGTGCTGTAGTCCATGGGGTTACAAAGAGTCGGACACAGCTGAGTGACTGAACTGAACTGACAAAGCTACAGTAAACAAAACAGTGTGGCACTGACATAAAAACAGACACAGACAAATGGGACAGAATCAAGAGCTCAAAAATAAATCCATGCATATACAGTCAGCTAATATTTGACAAGGGAACCAAGAACACTCAATGAAGAAAGGATAATCTCTTCAATAAGTGGTGCTGGTAAGCCTGTACATTCACATGCAAAAAAGTTAAATTGGACTCCTGTCTTATGCCACTTACAAAAATTAACTTGAAAGGAATTAAACTTAAATATAAGCCCCCAAACCATAAAACTCCTAGAAGAAAACTTAGGGGAAAAACTTCTTGATATTCATCTTGGCAAGGATTTTTTTTTTTTGGATATGACATCAAAAGCAAGGCAACAAAAGCAAAAATAAATAAGTGGAAATACATCACACTAAAAAAGTTTCTGTACAGTAAAAGAAATGATCAACAAAGTGAAAAGTCTCAACCTACAGAATGGGAGAAAATATATACAAACCATATATCTAAAAAAGGGTTAATATCCAAAATATCTAAGAAACTCACAAAACTCAAGAGCAAAACAAAACAAAACAAGTAATCTGATTAGAAATGGACAAAGGGAAAAAAAAAAAAAGAAATGGACAAAGCGGACCTCCCTGGTAGTCCAGTGACTAAAAATGTGGGTTCAATCTCTGGTCAGGGAACTAAGATCCCACATTCCTCAGAACAACTAAGCCTGAAAGGCCCAACTATGGAGCCTGCATAACACAGCAAAATCCCTATGCAGTCAAATAAATAAATAAACATTTAAACATTAAAAAAATGGACAAAGGATATGAATAGACATTTTTCTAAAGAAGATAAACAAATAGCCAATGGGTATATGAAAAGGTGTTTAACATCACTAATCATCAGGGAAATGCAAATCAAAGTCACAATGAGATATTACCTCAGACCTGTTAGGATGGCAGTTATGTAAAAGATTCGAGGTAACAAGTATTGGTGAGGACACAAAGAAAAGGGGCCCTTGTGCACTGTTTGTGGGAGTGTAACTTGGTATAACCATTTTGGAAAACAGCATGGAGGTTCCTCAAAAAATTTAAAATAGAATTACCATATAATCCAGCAATCCTACTTCTGGGTATATAACCATAGGAAACAAAATCACTGTCTCCAAGAGATATCTGCATGCCCATGTTCAGTGAAGCCCATGTTACAAGAGTCAAGGCATGGAAACAACCTAAGTGTCAGTCAATGGATGAACAGATAATGAAAATGTGGTACATGTAATGAAATACAGATAGTACCCAACTTATGACTTTTTGACTTTACAATGTGAAAGTGACATGCATTCAGTAGAAATCTTTGAATTTTTATCTTTTCCCATGCTAGCCATATATGGTATGATACTCTCCTGATGCTGGCACTAACAGCAAACTGCAGCTCTAAGTAGCCACACAATCACAGGAGTAAACAACAAATACATTTACAACCATCTATATGCATACAGTCATCCTGTTTTTCACTTTCAGTATCGTCTTCAATAAATTATGTGAAATATCCAACAATTACCATAAAATAGGCTTCGTGTTAGGTGATAAGCTAATGGAAGTATTCTGAATAAGGTAGGCTAGGCTAACCTGTTTGGTAGGTTAAAGTGAAAGTGCTAGTCACTCAGTTGTGTCCAACTCTTTGGGACTCCGTGGACTGTAGCCTACCAGGCTGCTCTGTCCATGGAATTCTCCAGGCAAAAATACTGGAGTGCCAAGAACTCCAGGCAAGAATACTATTCCCTTCTCCAGGGGATCTTCCCGACCCAGGGATGGAACCCAGGTCTCCTGTGTTGCAGGCAGATTCTTTACCATCTGAGCCACCAGGGAAGGTTGGTGTGTTAAGTACATTTTTTATTTATGGTATTATAACTTACGATAGGGTCATTGGGATGTACACCCATCATAAGCTAAGGAAGATCTATATTATTAAGTCACAACAAAGAAGGAAATCCTGCCACTTGTGACAATATGGATGGACCTTGAGGGTATTACACTAAGTGAAATAAATCAGAGAGGGAAATGGAAATCAAAAAGTGCTGAACTGACGGAGAGTAAATTGGTAGTTATCAGAGGCTAAGAAGTGAAAGAAATCGGGAGATGTTGGTTAAAGGTACAAACTTTCAATTGTAAGATGAATGAGTTCTGGGGATCTAATATACAGCACGGTGACTACAGTTAACACTGTCTTGTATACAGGCACATCTTGTTTTATTGCTCTTTGCAAATATTGCATTTTTTAAAAACTGAAGGTTTGTGGAAACCCTGCATGGTCAGATGATGGTTAGCATTTTTTAGCAATAAAGTATTTTCAATTAAGGTATGTACATTGTTTTCTTAGATACAATGCTATTGTACACTTAATAGACTACAGTATAATAAAAACATAACTTTTATATGCACTGGGAAACTAAAAAATTCTTATGATTCACTTTATTGTGATAGTTACTTTATTGTGGTGGTCTGGAACTAAACCTGCAATGTCCAATATCTGAAATTTGCTAAGAGAGAGGATCTTAAATGTTCTTACCATACACACAAAAAAAGGGTAGCTGTGAGGTGATGTGTTATATGATAATCATTTCACTGCATACATATACATATATGTATAAAATAATCACATGTACACTTTACATTTATACAATGTTGTTTGTCAATTATATCTCAATAAAGCTGGAAAAAGAAAATAGTGTGAGTTTGCATTTAGTTTCTGCCTTGCTAAAAAATGAGATGTAATAATGAACCCATGACTTAGGCTTCATCACATAGGCATCTAATGTCACAATCTGTTATCTTTTGGAAATAACACATTTGCCTCTTTAGGGAGTAGAGGTGATGCGCTATGTCATGAATGCGAGACGTTTTCACTGGAGAGGCACTGCGATGTGTCCTTTGCTCCTTCTCACCCACCACCCTGCCCTTCCCTCCCAGCAAAGGCTGACCTAGGATGGGGAAAGGAGGCGGTTGAGTGAGCTGGAACCAGACTCACTAGGGGAAGGAACCCACCCTTAGGACTGCACCCAGCCTGCAAACTCACCCCAGTCACCTAGCCAGTGAAGAATTTCATACAAGTGCTTCTCTTTAGTCTTAGCATCTTTGGAGAAGGAGGAAATTTTCTCCAGCAAGATGAATCTGTTCTTGCCCTTTTGCTCTGGCTGGGGAGGTTTCGCCTTTTTTTTAAAATCATATCCTAATTCTTCCTGGAAGCGGTTGATGACACAGTTGACATTGTCCAAGATTTCTGAGAGCTGGGAAGAAATATTCTACACGGGAAGCAGCAGATTGTAGTGTTTAGGAATGTAAACTCTGGCACCAGATGTCATGTCCTAGTCATGTGATCTTAGACAAGGCGGTTAACCTCTCGGGGCCTCAGTTTTCTTATTTGTAAAGTGGGGATCATTATAATAACTATGTCACAGAGTTTTAGTAAAGATTAAATGAGCCAGTATTTGTAAAGCACTTAGGTCAGCACCTGGCACATAAAGTAAGTGTTAGCTCTAATTACTCTCATTTCAATTATTAAGACCAGGTCAGAGAGAGAATACTAAAAATCCACAGTGAACATTTCTTCAGAATTTCAGAATTTGCCAGGGACTTCTGGACATCTCTCCTCACAAGGATCCAGAGGCAATAGACTAGAAAAATGAGGCCCCAAGAAACCCATGGATCAGAAAAGTGAAAGTGAAAGTCGGTCAGTTGTGTCTGATTCTTCATAACCCCGTGGACTATACAGTTCATGGAATTCTCCAGGCAAGAATACTGGAGTGGGTAGCCTTTCCCTTTTCCAGGGGCTCTTCCCCATCCAAGGATTGAACCTGGGTCTCCTACATTGCAGGCAGATTCTTTACCAACTGAGCCACAAGGGAAGCAAGGGTCAGAGGTTCCCATTAAAAAATGCACTAGATGCTCGTGTGCAGGATGATTAGAATCTTTGGCTATTTCCCTGTGAGTTTCTAGGACTCAACTTGGGGAAATTCTGATAGGTTGCCAAGAACAGACCTGAAATCATGAACTCTGGGCCCCCCCTGCCCTGGTAGGGCCCACCACCATGGTCTCAGGGTCATCCTAGGGCTTCCCTTGGGCTGTCCTCTTCCTGGACCCATCACTGGCCTAAGGGGGCGCGGTTTGATTCCAGCTCACCCTCCAGAGGCCAATCTAGGAGGTGAATATTTTGCACTAAGCTATCCATAAACCCAGCTTGCTGAGGATCCTAGGACCCACAAGGGCCCAGAGCTGGAATCTTGCCCAAATCTAGCATCAGTCCCTGGCATCCCCATCAGATCCCAACAGAAAGGTGGCATTTTTCATCTCAGGGGTTACCTCCTGAGCTCGAGTTAGCTGGGCAGCCTCGATCCTTGAGATGATGGCTTTCACTGACGCAGGGGTCACCAACTGTGGGGGTTTATCTTTCTCCATCTTGGATCACTCTTGTCAGTCGCAAAGACGTCCTGTGTCTCTGGTGCAGGGGCCTGAACACAGTGTTGGCTGCTTGGGGGTTAAGGACTCCAGAGAAGCTCCTGACCCCTCTTCTAGCTGCAGCTCCCTGTAACTGCCAAGTGACAGGTTCCAACTGACCTTCTTTCTTCCAATGACATCATCAGGTTGACTGGAAGAATGACTCCCTGTCATCTATCTGCTTGATTATCTAGATTTTTATCCATATCCATCACCTAATATGTATTAACTTGGCCTATTGCTTTTTAAAAAATCATTAAATGTTATGGTCCCAAACTAATATTAATGGCTAAAAAGTAGAAAAAAAAATTAGAAAAAGTTATTTTCCCAAAGAGGTTTTTAAAAAAAAATACAACCAACCAATAACTAATAGGAATACATTTCAATTTACACCAAGAGTCAGGGCTTAATCAACACTTTCACTGAAGATAATCATCATTACCAGAGGACTTTTTAAAACAAATGATTAAAATGGACACTGTTTCATGCCCAGGACTAGAACTTTGCCTGGTATATAATAGGCACTTAATAAACATTTGTCAAATTAATGAATATGTAAGAAAAATACATATATGTGCAAAATATTCTTCCATGCTACTGAAACATTTAACAAATAAGGAATAAAACATTGTAAGTTCAGTTCTCAGCAGTGCCATAGCCACTTAAAAACATGTCACCTGACACCCACCTGTCTTCTACATACTCTCATTCCCTCACTATGGGCTTCCCCGATGGCACAAGCTTATTGAAAGTTAATTCTTTCAATGTCTATTCATGCAATGAACACTTATTGGTAACATTTAATGTTTCAGGCATGGAGATAGGTGCTAGAAATACAGAAGAGTGAGACCTAGTTCTGCCTTTGAGGTACTCACATCCTGCTTTATGGCTTCCTATCTATATATCTGGCACTGGATTCCTTTAATTCCTTGTGATTTCAGAGCATGTTATAGTTTACAAATAACTTATTCATCCTTACAAACATGTTTGAGAGCCAGTTGAGGCTCAGAGTTATGAGATTTATCTAAAGTTACAGAGCTGGCAAGTACAAAATCAAGACCTCAACCTGCTTTTCTGATTCCCCGTCTGGGGTCCTTTCTTCTTTTTTCCTTTCTCTCCCTCTCTACTTTTTCTTTCTTTTAAAGATGATCATACTGATAATTAAATCACAAATAGATGATCTAAATAAGCTAATTAAAAGATAGATTACAAGATTCAATTAAGAAAAACCCAAGACTCAAACTATGTTCTGTCTACAAGAAACACGCTTTAAATAAAAAGACACACATAGGTTAAAAGATGGAAAGAAATGAACTATGCCAATACTAGTCAAAAGAAAACTAGAGTGACTACATCAATTTTAGATTTTATTATTTTTTTTTTTACTTTTTGGCCATATGGCATGGCATGTGGGATCTTATTTCCCTGACCAGGGATTAAACTAGCACCTGCTACATTGGAAACTTAAGAGTTTTAACCACTGGATCGCCAGGTAAGTCTCAATTTGGGATTTTAGAACAAGAAAGATTAACAAAGTTAAAAAGGGAGGTGTCCTTTTTAAATCCATAAACTCCATGATAGAGGTGTCAACTAATAAAAGTGATGTAATCCTATATATATTTGAACCTAATAACAGCTTTGATACACATGAAGCAAAAAACTTACAGAAGTGAAAGGAGAAATGGATAAATCCACAATTTCTGTTAGAGACTTCAATGCTTCTCTTTCAGGAACTGGAAAAAGTAGAAAAAAAATAAGCAAGGATATAGAGGTTTTGAAAAATACTATCAACCAACTTGACTCAATTGACATTTATAGAACACACCACCCAACAACAGCAGGATGCTTTATTTCCAAATGCATATGGAATAATAATCCGGACCATAAAACAGGTACCAATAAGCTTAGGATTAGAATCATACAAAATCTGTTCTCAGATCACAATGGAATTAAACCATAAGCCAATAATTAAGAGATATCTGGGAAAATTCCCAAATGTTTACAAATTAAACAACACACTTCTATACAACTCATGAATCAAAGAAGAAATGACAAGGAGAATTATGAAATATTTTGAACTGACTGAAAATGAAAACTTGACATACTAAAATTTGTAGGATGCTGCTAAAGCAGTGCTTAGAGTAAGAAACTAGATAAGTAATTACAGAGAAATTGAAGGAGAAGGGAATCATATGGATAAGAGTAAATAAATAAAACAAAACAAACAAATACAGAGAAAATCAATGCAATCACCCAAATCTGGTTCTTTGAAAAGATTAATAAATTGATAAAGCTCTATCCAGCTTTTACCAGGGGAGAAAAAAGTCATATTTACCAACATGAGGAATATAAAGGGGACATCACTACAGACTCTATAGTGGGAAATAATGAGAGTATTATGAAAAAACTTTATGTCAATAAACTTGATAAATTAGATGAAATAGACAAATTCCTTAAAGGCTACAACCTATTAAAGCTCAATAAGAAAGCAAAACCCTGAAAAACCCTATATCTACTAAAGAAATTGTAATTAAAAACCTTTCCCTTAAGGAAGACTCCAGCCCCAGATAACTTCATTGGTAAATTTTGCCAAAGATTTAAGGAAAACATAATACAATTCTATATACACTCTTTGAGAAAGTTGAACAGTAATGGAATACTTCTCAAATCATTTTATGCAGTTAGCATTATCTTGCTACAAAAACAAGACAGAATATTATAAAAGCACAGACCTGATATAGACATAAAAGAAAATAAAATAGAAGCCCTTGACAGGAACAAAATTATTTGCAAACCATGTATTTGGTAAAGACTTGTATCCAGAATATATAAAGAACCACTATTACTCAATTATAAAAAGGAAAACAATTCAGTTGTTAAATGGGTAGAAGATGTGAATAGACACATCACTGAAGATATTCAGGGGCTTCCCTGGTGGTCCAGTGGTTAAGAATTCACCTGACAATGCAGAAGGTACGGTTTGATCCCTGGTCTAGGAAGATCCCACAGGCCAAGGGGTTACTAAGCCTATGCGCCACAACTACTGAGCCTGTGCTCCAGAGCCCAGGGACCACAACTACTGAAGTTCACACAAAGAGAAGCCATCCCCAATGAGAAGCCCGCACCACAACAGAGTAGTCCCCGCTTGCTGCAACTAGAGAAAGGCTGCATGTAGCACAAGACCCAGCACAGCCAAAAATAAATAAATAAATAAATCTAAAAAAAAGAGAAGGTTCTCAAAAGGTAAATAAGCAATAAAAAGATTCTCAACATCATTAGTCATTAGGGAAATACACAATTTGTTAACCCCAATAAAAAGTGTGAGCACACTAACTGTTGAGGAGGATGTTGGAATGTAAAACCCTCGTTTATTACTGGTAAGGATGTAAAATGGTATGGCCACTTTAGAAAGCTATTTGGCAGTTTTTTAAAAAAAAATTTAAATATCTATTCCATACAATTCAGCAAGCCCATTCCTAAGTATTCACCCAAGAGAAATTAAAACATATTCATACAAAGACCTATACACAAATATTCATAAATAGCTCTATTTGTTATAGCTCAAAACTATAAACAACCTAAATTTCCATCAACTGGTAAATGGATAAACAATGAAATGTACCATTTCATATTTTTAAAAAGGAATGAACTACTGATACATGCCACAACATGGATAACCTCAAAAGCTTTATACCAAGTGAAAGAAGGTAGACACAAACTACTACAAGCTATATAATTCCACTTACATGAAATTCTAGAAATGCAAAACTATTGTGACAGAAAGGAGGGTAGTTGATGCCAGGAGCCAGATGAGGGAGATGCAAATGACTGTAAAATGGAACAAAGAAGGTCTCTGAGGGAAGGAACTGTTTTATGTCATGATTAATTCACTGCACCCTACACTTCAAATTGGTGAATTTTATTAGGGGTAAACTATATGTCAATAAAGCTGATTTTAAAAAAATTATTTATTTATTTGGCTGTACTGGGTCTAAGTTGCTGTGTGTGGGCTCTAGTTCCCTAATAACCAGGGATTAAACCCAGGCCCCGTGCATTGGGAGTGCAGAGTCTTAGCCATTGGACCAAAAGGGAAATCCCAAAGTGGACTTTTATATATTTTTTTAACTTTAAAAATCATTTCTTTTTGACTGCTCTGGGTCTTTGTTGCCACGCACAGCCTTTTTCTAGTTGTGGTGCATGGGCTTCTCATTGCAATGGCTTCTCTTGTCGCGGAGCCTGGGCTGTACAGGGTGTAGGCTCAGTAAAGGCTTCAGAGATGTCCCCCAAACTGATTTTTAAAAATGTGATGTTCTATTGGAGAAGGAAATGGCAACCCACTCCAGTATTCTTGCCTGGAAAAGTCCATGGACAGAGGAGCCTGGTGGACTGAAGTCCATGGGATTACATGACTGAGCATGTGTGCATGAGGGTGGAGGGAGATGGGTTGGTAGCAATAAAGTGGTAGAACTAAAAAAAAATAATAATAATAAAAAATAAAAATGTAACATTCTATAATGTTCAAGGCTGTGGAGGGATTGCGGGCAGACAGCACAAAGGATTGGAAGTTAGTCAGGAGGGTATAAGGAAAGAACTCTTTCTCTTTTCTCAGCTGGCAAGTCTCCCCTATTTCATCCCCATTACCAGCGGGGCTGGGACACACCCTCCTCCAAGCCCCTCTCCCATGCAGGCCAACAGCAGAACCTTCACCACAGTTCAAGGGTCACACTAGTTGATCACCAGCTCAAAAGAGACGTTTGCAAACCTTTAAAAAAGCAGCTGGGGGCTTCCCTACTGGCTCAGTGGTTAAGAATCCACCTTGCCAATGCAGGAGACACCGGTTCTATCCCCGGTCCAGGAAGATCCTACATGCCCAGAAGCAACCAAGCCCATGAGCCACAACTACTGAGCTTGTGCTCTAGAGCCTGGGAGCCACAACTATTGAAGCCCACGTGCCCTAGAAC